ACTACTCCAATGCAACAATTTTAACTTTCAAATAGTCTCAAATTTATAATCTCAATATGTATATTTATATATAGGAGTTTTATTTTAAACTGAGTCAATTACACATTGAACTATGGGTTTTATTCAGAATTCATCCCTTTTTAAGAGTGCGAAGGTATGTTATACTATAGTTTCGTATATTCAAAAAGATAACAATACACTGAAGCAGCGATGGTGGCTGATTCAGAATTTACTTCCCTAAAACTTTTATGTCATACTTTCAGGTCTTTATGTGTGAATAATAGCAAACAGAAATTATTCCAATTTTACTCAGGGAACTAGTGTTCCTTTGAGAAACAGAACAGAACCCCCGCACTCTATGTAAGAACATAAGCTCTATGAGGACACAGCTTTTTGTCTGTTTTGTCCACTGCTAAATCCCTAGCACCTAGAGCAGTTCCTGGCTCATTGTAGACGTTCAATAGGTATTTGTTGAATAAATGAATTTGTCCAAAAAGGACAAGAATTCATTGTATTATAATGACTAGAAAACATGAGGACTCCACTTATTCCCCTACCTGACCCCCTCTCTATTTCAGGTTTGTTATTTGCATTAATTAAAAAATAAGTGTGCAGGTTCAGATCTGGTCACCTCGTAGCAGGTTCCAATTTTTTTAACATAATGTGTTCAATAGATATGTGATTACAAGATTATACGTCTAGGCTACATAAAACCAGGTATGCTCATGTCAAATCTTACCTATGAACTCCAGTGACACTCTCCTCTACTATGCCCTTGATTTTCTTAAACATGTTGGGATACTTTTTATAAATCCAGTGAGTGAGATCCCCTCCATCATCCAAGATCTGCAATAGTAAGCATCAATAACGTCATTTACTTTGCTGAAGGCTCAAGGCTTCAGTGCTTCTCTGGGTTTTGTATCCCAATTTCTAATTACCAATTTATAGATATGCCGAATTTCCCAGATGATTATGTAAAATAACTTAAAGCAGGGTTAATGGAATAATCTACTAAATAGTCATTAAACTGAAGCAAAAGACAATGAGAGGTGAAAGGCCAATTGTAATTCTCACAGCCAAATGACCCTCCCACATGACACACCTACTTTATCAAAATACACAGCAACACAATGAGGATTTTCTTATGGACTGGCAGCTTAAGTAGTTATCTAGATCACTAGTCCTTGAATGTACTGTAAATATTCAGAAAGCCTAAACTTTATATAGCAGATTTCTATTGCTTAAATTCAGGACTTTAAATATATTCAGTTGAGGCTTAGTTTAAAATAAAAGGCCAGATAATTAGTCTCCCTCTCAGAACAATGGTTTATAAGACTGAATTCACTAACCCTTTACTTCTCCTGAAGTACAGGCACTCTCCCACCCAAAATATCAGGCAGCATTATAGGGTTTTGCCTAGCACAACCTCACGCTCTGTATAAACCAAATTAAAAATAACCAGGGAACCGTGCAGCATGTAGGTGTGCAAGCATGCCTCTGAACAGCTCATCACTATTTCAGGTTGGGATTAAAGATAAACACAATGCTGTGCCCACTGGAGCTTTCATCAGCAAAGGAAAGTTTCTGAATTATAAATAAGGTAAAGAAGCACCAGCTTAGAACACTATCAGGCACTAGGCTGCGGCACTTCAGCCCTTCACTGGGCTGTTAAAAGTGCTTAGCAGGACTTTGCAAATTGTTATATCTATCCTCCTGGAAAGTCCCTGCAGAACTGAGCTGCCCTTTGCTGGCATGCACCCATTTTGCAGTCTCATCAATTATCAACTCCCCTGTGAGTGCCTAAAATGCCATCCTGGACCCCAGGGTACACAAAATCCCCAACTTCACATCCAGAACCTGATCTCTTTTATACTTCTGCTCCGGTTGTTGATCTATTTTCTCTGACTCAATTAAGCCTTGCTTGAGAGCAGGGATCCAAGGCGGAACTCTTAAAACTCTTATACTTGCTCCAAACACAAGTAGAAACGCTCAGAACAGATGCCCTAAGAAACCGAAAGGCTCTTCTGAGTTTCTGCACGTATGGAATCCCTCGTGGAGTTTTCCCTTGCCACAAAAAAGACCAAAGACAAAAAAGATTGAACTGGGAACTCTGTGTTGTAAGTTCTATTCTCATCCACTGTTCCCTTTTAAAAAATATACCTGCTACAGGCAGGTAGGTGCTATCCTTAATATTTATTTAATGAATGCAGCCCCTAATTCTCACCATGTAAATCTATTGCAGAAAATTCTTGTCATCAGGAAATCTTCGTGAGGTTGTAAAGCAAGGAAAAGTACTAAGATCTTGATAGGATCCAAAGAGGTATGGGTCCTGTTTTCTGGAGTGACAACTGTTTTTGTCCTTTTCTTACTCTCTTCATTAACCTTCCTAGCAGTTTGTGTTGGCTCCACAGTTTGTAAAAACTCTCTGAGTACAACTGCATGTCTTCTCTGGGTTCCTGACTATAAAATCAATGTTTTATTCTCAGGAGAAAACCCCTGGCATATATTCTTTAGTGTCTGTCAGTCATCTCTGTCCTGTTGCTGTTAAAACTGTTGGAATGAGCTGACTCATCTTATAGCCACTGTCAACCACACCCCCCACCCCTTTGGTATGAAGGCTTCAACCCAGCTTCCTCAAACCAGCACTGGGTGCAATGTGACCTGGATCACGGAATTCAGAAAGAGGCTGCTTCCCTGCTGTGAGCCAGATGAGGTCTGCTCTGTAGTCTGCAGCAGTAAGCAATTCGACTACAGCTTCAAGGATTCTTTTTTCAGTTGATTCCCTAATTTCTCCTCTAGTGTGCAGAATTTTTATGAAATAGGAGTGCCGCATACTTCGTGTAGCTTTTTGCCTCTCTGCAAATCTAATGTACTATCCAGGCTTCAAGACTTAATCTTTTTAAAAATGAAACAAAAATTAAAAATGCAAAACTTTGCTTGGTCATCTCTTTTAAGGTAGTAAATGAATAAAGAGAAGAAATTTGAACTTGGAAGTTCTTCAGGTTTACTAAAAATTCAGTATATAGATTCTAGAGAGAAAGCTAAGTATCTCAGGAGTTATTGTGTTTTTTTGTTTGTTTGGGTTTTTTGGTTGTTGTTGGTGGGGGATGGTGGGCAGTGGTAGGGGAAGGAAAGTCATTACCCTTGCTTTTTAACCAGCCATGTATGAATCCTGAGCAGTGCTTTAATGTTACTAATGAATATGAATGCTTCTAAGAATTAAGGCACCTTGAGGTTACAAGAGGTTCAATACTCTTAGGGTACTCTAAGCATAAGCATCTAGTTTCACTGGAAATTCAGGTATATCAGATAGAAATGGAACCATTTTCCTTCCTTATCATTGAGAAACCCTCTCCCAGGCCATAGACTCCTTCTATCTCCACCCCTGACCCCTACAGAATTGTGTTAGCAGAAATCTGACCCACCATGTTTGGCTGCCAGCCTTCTACATTCACGCATCTATCAATGCACCACCAAAAGTCATCTTCTGACTCTCCTTTCCAGGCAAAGACAGGAAATCCTGAGAAAAAGAAACAAAAAGAAACCATTAAAAACTGAAAAAAGGGCCAACCCCCAAATTGTCACAAGAAGACATTGGTTTTCCCCAATTCCAAACTCTCTCATTCTGCTATATTCCTTGGATGACTTTCTTCACTGATTAGCATGGCCTTTAGCATCTTTATCCATTTTTTTGTCTTTGGTGGTCATTCTGCTCTTATTAGCCCAAAAAGGACAAGCTAAATGGACAACAGTATGATGGTTGTTAAAAATATGAGTAAAAAGGAAAAAAGAGAAGTAAGTACTTCTTGATCCACTTAAACTGGCACTCTCACCATTTCCCAGCTCCTCTTTGATCTTTCTTGCTTCTATACTTTAGTCATCCCACCCTTTTCATCAGGAAAACCCTTACACTCTTTTCCATCTGCTAAAATGTTGCTATAATTCATAGCTCAGTTAAGCGTCATGTTCCTAAATGAAGCCTGATTAACTCCGCTGGAAGTAAGCTCTCAAGGAATCTGAACTTTACCAAGCCCCTTGTTTATGTACTGAATATAGATTTATGATCTGCCATGGCATTTATCATATATGTCCTTGTACTATCATTACTTATAGATGTGTATTATCTCCTTGACCAAAATATAAAATTCTGAGGGCAAAGACATTGTCTCATTTGTCCTTATAACTCTTAGAGTAGGTCAATAAACATTTGTTTAAAAAAATAAGTGAATGCATATGTACAATTAATTGGGCTATACATTTAATATTTGTATTAATATTACTTTTCTATTATA